GGTCACCTCTGGGGCGGGCGGGAATCGAACTCATGTGGAAGCGGCTTTAGATTCTCAGTGCTGTGCTTTAACCCGCTGCGCCACCAAGGAGGGCCACAAGTGGTTATATTTTTAAACAATCTTACTACTATAAACATGAAACTAAATATATCTTGCTATATACATTAATAAAAAATCATCTTTGGCATAAATTGGTTTCCATTACCATAAAGGAACATAAAATATAAGTTATCATTACCATGAATAATTAAATTAATTATGAAATAGTATTTAAATAGATTCTCTTACCATATTTTTAAGTCCTATTGTTTTCATTTCAGTACCAATGAAAACTGGAGTACATTAATATCACTGCAACTAAACCCTGGCTTACTTTTGAGGCTGTGAGAAATCACTAATTCTTGGCTGACTGTACCATAAAAGAGTTTGTACGTGACTACATCAACAGAACGTGTGTCTGCATACTCTGAATATGCTGTTTCTAGAAAAAGGACATTTGGTTTTAGGGTTAATAATATTAGCATTAGAAATAGAACATAACTCTTGGGAGAGGGAGACTGAGGTTTATTGGACATATGAGCAAACTGATTCTGAGTTTCCTTGCTAATTAATAAAATTTCAGCCAATTTATGGACCATTGTAATTGCCCACTGATGCAAGTAGGTAGCTCACAGTATGACACATCACTGTGCTGAAACATTACCGCATGTTTACTCTGTCCAGCAAACGCTGCTCCTACATAAAGCCTTCCCACTACATTTTCCATATTCCCATTGACATAGTTAGCACAACGTCTCCAAGTTGCTGTTTCAGATGTTGTGCCATAAAGAGCCTGTGGGAGAGAAAAAGGAAATGACGTTTGAGCAGAGGTAGATGGCTGGAATGTGCTGAGAGCACAGATCTCACAGGACACTATTCTTTAGGTCTCCTAAGTTCTTACAATATTTACTGCTTCTCCTCACAAGGTACATTGCACTTGCCTATGATAAAATATTGTCCAAGTGGACTATTACTTATATATAATTATAAAACAAGGTATATTTTTCTGTAGCACGTAACAGCAGAATTTTTGGCTATTACAAATGAATATTATTCTAAACAATTTTGGAAAAATGCCCCCCAAGATCAAACACACACATAAAAGACACAGTTACCCACTGCAGAAACATAAAGGTGAAGTAATGCTCAATAAATGTCATAAGGAAGGAATCTGGTATACAAGAAAACATAATCTTGTTTTAATGTTTAAGCAAGAACTCCCTGTATACAGAAGGACTTCATGTATATAAATTTAAATACCAATTAGGGGATAAACTTAGGTAAGCGAAATATAGCATAACACCACTTTTATAGTCTTTACTTTTTAAAATGTGTCTACATTTTTTTCCAAAGGGTAAAAACTAGATACTTCAATCATTCAGAGAGTTATTTCCTTCCCATGATACCCACAAATACTTTTGCTAGAATTTCATCTTTCTGAATTCCCCGTGCTTTCTCCCCTCACAACAGAACTAAAATGATGATTGTTTAAATCATGTGTGTACATGTAATAAAAGGCCTTTGGGTTATCTCCAGGCAGATACATTCTTAGTGGATTGTCCATACCAATGTAGTTCACCTGTGTGTCTGTCTAGTGTGCTATGATTACCTGAAAATCAAGTCACTTGAGATAAGATGGACCTGCAATTACTTTTAACATAATAAAAAAGTGAGCAAGCATTCTTTCATGAACTGCTAAAATAATGAATCATCTCTTCTTCCAGGCAATAAAAATCATGGTGCCTCAGTAAACAATCGTAGCAGGGCACAGCCCATGAAAATCGGCTTTCCTAGGCAATATAATCTCAACATGGGCAAAATAACCAAAATTTGACATGTTAGCTCCTGGTAAAGTTCACCACATTCTAGCCGTGTACATGGCAAGACTTCATAACCATGTATCTCTTTATGATTTTAAGTCTTAAGAAAAGAGATTTTTTTTCACCTTGCGGAAAGCATTTCTGGACTCCTTGTAGTTTCGGCTGAGGCTGCTTACAAGATCCATTATGAACCGCCAGGACATTAAATTTTGAAGATCTCTGTATAAAAAAACCCACCACCCAGCAACAGAAAAGATGAGGCTGCAAAGCTTCTAAAGAGTAATATTAAATGTAAACTTTGAGGACACGGGCACACTGACATACCTACCTGGTAGAATATTTGGTAAGAATGACCTTAAGTTTGGTTAAATATTCAGGAGCATAAACAACCACATCTTCTTCATTTGTAATATTAATATTCACAACTGACATGATTTCATTTGTGAAAGTTAACCAGTTGAATGGCTGGAAAGAAAGCAGGCATAAAACACTCAGTAATTGTGGTTTTCTCTTCTTGGTTCCCAGATTCAATTATGATCAGTAGGTCAGTTAGGTGTCAGTTGTGTCACTATATAATCATCACAATGGTCAGCTTGATATTAATTTGGAATATTCCCTGCATGATTTCAATCCACTTTTGATAAAAATTAGTTTTGCAACATGATTATTCAGGTAGCAACATTAATCCAATCAGTTAAGAGCAACAGCAAAACCTCTAAGCCTAGAGAATATACAGCAACAAGTTAGGTTCAGGACCTCTTTTCTAACCAATATAAGGGATAAAAAGAAATTAACAACAAATTAGATATAAACACGTTCCCTTCATATATACAATTATTTAAATGAGCATAGTGTTTATCTTTTAAAGGTGGATGTTAATATTCCATTCAAGTGGATCACAGTGCAGATAGAAAGCATACTATATGGTATGCTAACAAAGGTACATATACAATTGAGTTAAAATACATCTTAAAACTCAATATTGGTCTATAGCTATACAGACTTCATACTGCAGAAGTTAAGTTTAGAGTTGCCAAAAGATGGAAGCTTGTTTTCTATTATTTTTTAAATGGAAAAGATGGCTATTTAATCACCACTGAACATAAGCAAAAATAAAGGAAGCAATATGCATATTTTGCAGAAATGCTACATTTCAGTGTTTGAGGATATTTAGGATTGCCAAAATTTTATGGTTCTATACAAATGTATATTTTTCCTATCTCTGTGTCTGTGTAACTGTATCTGTCTGCCTCTCTATTACTAAGTGCAGGATGTCAAATATGTTTAATTTTCTTTAATGGGCTTAACTATTTTTTTCAAAACATATTTATTAAACACTTACTCTATTAAAATTTTATCTGAGAAATTCCTAACTCAATAGGGTCAGACTTTCAAAAACTCCTTGTTTACTTGTAATTAGTGTCAGACAACCCATTTTTGAATGTGGTAGTTTGTATATTTTTTCATGGGTGTTAATTCATTTCCTGATGTTTGTATCAACCAACGCACAAGAATAAATTGCTAGTCCTCAGAAAAGATTATTAGATACTACCTAATGAATTACAATGAAGCAAAAAAGATGTCAACTACTGTTTATAAATGGAATCCATGAGACAGATTTTCTTTGATTTTTGGTGTTCTATTTCTCTATTATGGCTCTGAACACCTCCATAGATGACTTTGATGGGAACATGGCAAATTCTATGAATAAATTATCTTTGTTAGGATTTAAAAAAGGCATTAGAAATCTAGTTCTTTTATTATTTGACTGTCTGACCCCCAAGGTTATAATAGTCTCTCAAGAGGATTTTTTAGTTTTAAAGTTTTCCAAACCCTTTCCTACAATAGTTTCTAGTAATATTGCACAGTTGCTTTGAAGGGGATTTTATATTTGAAATTGATTCTAAATATAAAGATTTCCAATGATTTCTTCAGGTCTGAAAAGGAAATCAAATGGTTGGTGTCATTTAAATTCATTTTGAAGGTCAATTTATTTCAATAAACAAGAAATCATTGTATTTTAACAAACCATAACTCAATGTTATATCTTAGAAATGAAATAATAAGAGATTACATAGAACCTGCTACTTACCTTTCCACCGATCTCTAGTGAAAAGTTATTTTGGATCTGGGCTAATGTCATTTTGTTATAAAGAAGCATTGGATCATTCCGATCTTCAGGTTTAGTTGTAGCCTATGGATTTAATTTGTTTTAATCATTATTTTAGAACTAAAAATTCTTTAGAAAAACATTAACTCAATATGAGGGAAAAAGAAATATAAGCTAAGTGCAAAACTTATAATTTATTTTGTTATGCCAAACTGCAACATTAAGAGATTTTAAATGTATTCAGTAACAATTTCAAGATTTGGCTGCAATTTCAAGTATAATTTCTTTCAAGAACATTTTTTACACTTTAGTAATTCTTTCCTCTTATGATTAATGTCCAGTTGAGTTTGACTTTCTTTAATATAACCATATCTAATTTATCTCTCCAATACTTCAGTTCCCCAACCACCACTACTCAGGGTCCCAGTTAAAATTCAACCAGGACACCTTCCCTTCCCCACAACAGTTTCTGCAAGAAAGTAAAGCAGTAAGACATAGCAAGTTCCTAGCACACAGCACAGTTTGCAAGTTATGTAAGAATTGCAGCACCAGCTTTTACCACTGGTCTCCTATATTGCTTAACCAGGTTGGTGCTCAACACTCAACATTATTCAGTTGGATTTTGTTTCAATGAATAAAAAAGAAATTGCGGTAACATTCCCCACCAACTAGTGACTGAAATGAGCATTAGGAACCATAAGTGAGAAAAGACAAAGGTGAAAGTTTAGAAAAGGAAATTACTTCTCAGTGACTATTGTGTTATTATCTCCTTATGCCTTATTTAGAAAATTATGTACTGAATATCTCTTGCATGCAACACCATGCTGGACACTGTTAGAGATACACAGGTTATTCAAAGATGACTAAGACCCTACCTCAATCTTGAAGACTAATTCAGGAGGAAAATAACTTGTAAGATGTGGTAAGAGACTGACCAAAACATAGCATACTCTGGAACACTGAAAGTGCTAAAAACCCAGGGCAATAGCAATTCTAGTAATTCTGCTTCCCACACAGAACCACATGTAAACTATAAAGTTGCAATTCACCCAGTTGAAACTCCAAGCATGATGAGACATTTTTTATTTTATGTAGCCCTAGGAAAGCTAAAAATGTCTTTAAGTATCTTCAGTCTCCAAGACTGATGTTAGGGGCATGCAGATAGAGGTTTAGGAATGCAGGTGGCTCTTTGCCAAATCACAGAGAGTTCTGTGGATCTTAGTGCGACTCTGGGTTCACTCAATAACCTAGGTGCCACCGGGACTCAGAGTTCACTCACTTGAGTACACAGACCTGGTCATGTGGTTAACTGGGGAGAAAGTGCCAAGCCAGAGTCCTGGGGCTTATCTGGAACTAGAGAAAATTCAGGAAGTACTCTTGGGCTTTGCTACTAAACTACTACAGTCAGATTTCCCCTATGCTCAACAGGCTGACATCTGATTTCAGTGACAGCACACTGTGGTCATGTTAATGGGCTCGTACCTTCAGCAAAGGGATAGAGATGATCTGTGATTACTTTAAACTTTAAAATAAAGTATAATTGTATATATCAAAACCAACACAGCTTTGCTGAATAATTAGCAATCAAGTTTGTCCTGAGCCTCAGTCACTGACTGTAGTTAGGATTTTGATGTAGTCTACTTATAACAGGTAATTAATAAGTATATCTAGTTTAATATTTGTTGAAGTTAGTATCTCTCCTGAATATTAGTTTACTATAAAATTTTAGTTTCAAAGGTCCACTTGAGGTCCATTACCAACTGCTGAGCTGTACAATTTTATCACTTGGTGAGAGACCTATAATTTTACTGTTAAAATATAACAGAGAAAATAAAGGGAAAAAAGTGGTGAACATTAGTCAATGTATCAGAAGAAAAAGGCTTTTACAATGGCAATTTCTTTTTCCAATTCCATTATTCTATTCATTTCCTCAGAAATCTGGTTTTCATTGATGACCAGCCCTCTTTCCTGACGAATCAGTTTGGCCACAGAAATCATAAAATCCACATAGGCTGTGCAAGCCTGCAAGAAATAAGAAACAGTAAGTTGCTGGCGAGTATTCATCACAAAGCATTAACTTAAAATTAATTTTCAATGCATTATCAATTTTTGCTGAAAGATAAAATACAATAGAAACCCTAATCCTTTCCTAAATCCTAAAAGAAATAACCTGCATAGATTCTTAGAAAGTCAATGTGTCTTTGAGTTATAGCAGAAGAGTATTGTATCACTTTGAAGGTAATTCATAAACTTTTGGTTATGGAGATCATATAATCTTCAATTTTTAATCAAGTTATTGTATATGGCTTTCATAAGAATGCAGTCACAACACTTGGAGAGTAAGAACCTAGCATTTTTTCTTTAATAAAAATAAATTCCTTTACCTAATTTCCCTTTCATATTTATATGTATATGTATGTATATGCACGTGTGTGTATATTTATGTGTGTTGTGTGCATACATATTGAATTCTTCATGAAGAGATAACCATGACACAAAATATTACTGAGACACTTTATATCATAGTCCAAGCAGTATTTAGTTTATCCAACATAAACCTGTGGATTTTCACTAATTCCATAGCTGGCTCCCACGATTGTGAAATTTCATTCTAAGTTACTATAGATTTGGATAAGCTATAAACTATTTACATAATGGAACTTATACAGACTTTCTTTTAAATGTTCAAGAACTTCAATAGAAAAAATTAAATTTCTATATAACTGTTTCACAGTTAAAAAAATATAGGACTTGTGGGCCCTCCCTGGTGGCGCAGCAGGTTAAATCACAGCACTGAGAATCTAAAGCCACTTCAGCATGTGTTTGACCCCAGCCTGCCCCGGAGGATATCCACATGGCGAGGCAGACATCTCCTGACCCGCCCGCTGCTCCCCTCAGCAGTGTACTTCATAGATCTGCCTGTTCTGCTCCACGCTTTCTCTCTGGTGATTCCTCTCACCCTCCGCATGTCTGGCCTGTACCCCAGTTCTGTATGAATAAATAAGTAAATCTTAAAAAAAAAAAAACCATAGCATTTGTTTATAAGACTGTCAGTCAGAATAAGGGACTACATGTAAATAACTTAATATGCTACAGCATGGACAGGCAGATTTAACCACATAATGTAGATGAAAGCAAAGTGTACCATTTTTTTTAAGTATTTATATATTAGATTTATCTTTTTCTCTGTAGATAATATTGGTGTATCATACTGTATATGGTTTTGGGAAACAGGCTTCCACCTCCTTAGATACATTCATCACCCCATGCCACCATCGAAGTAGCCATAGTGCTTAACGAGAGTTTACTGGGTGCCTGTCCCCTTCTTCGGTAGCCTCCCCTTCCTAAAGCCTTCCCTCTCCATAGACTCTGCTCCCCATAGCCTAAATCCTGCAGTCATATTTCTAGGGTTTGTTTTGGCTTAATTTTCTCAGTTCCTTTGTTTTTTTTTTTCCCCTCTATAGTCTGCATATAAGGGAAAGCATCTAGTATTTGCCTTTCTCCTTATTACACTTAACATAATCCTCTCCAATTCCATCCATCCTTTCACAGAATTTATAAGTGCCTTTTTCAAATTCAGAGTGGCTTCCACACCAGGAAACTGAGTACCTGTTCATGAATTTTAACCCATTGCTATTTAACCATTATTATATATTAAATGACTTCCCTTCAGTGAAATTTCTTCAAAATTCAAGTTCCTAGCATAAGCTTTATTATGAACAGATTAACAAGAGTAGGGGAGCCACACCATACAAGTTTGGGGCCAAAGATCATGTTTTTCCATGGCTAAGACTTGTTCACAGGGTAAAGACAAAGGAAAGCTATATAGTGCTAACAACACTCGCCGTTTCACAAGCATGTTACCTCTCTACTAAATAATTGTAAGGGAAAGATGCACACTTTACATTCACTCTGAACACAAAGGCACATCTAGTTTACAGACTCAATAATTAAGGACCAAGCATAAAAACAAGTAAAGGAAAATATTCTGTCTAAGAATGTAAGCAAAATGCACAAAGTTATTATCAATTTAAAAATCAAGAGGACACATTTAAGTAAGATTTAGATGCTAGCATTCCGTGACCTTTATTAAATGCTAAGTAAACAGTTCCCTAGGGAGAGGACTCTCTTCTCAAGGACACCCTGCCATGCTGGAACTGTCTGGCCAGCAGCTCCATCCATGGATCTGTCACTCAATAGAACAAACTATTTCAGCTGTGAGTCTGTATTAAAAACTTAATCACTATGGGGCCAGAAATGAAAGAATGTTTTTATATATATTTTGCCATTCCATTCTTTTCCTATTAAATGGTAATTAGAGCTCTTGTTTCACTTTGAAGCAAACAAATATCTGAACTCATACCTCAAGAGACCAACTATTACAAAGTACAAGTATGCAGTGTTAGATTTAACTGTGTTTCAAAATAAATAAATTCATCTTATTTAGCAGAGATTTGCTACTGACTTTGAAAGCAATGGTAATTTAAATTTTCTAATATCAACCTACTGAGATTTTTTTTCTTCTTTTTTACTCCATGAAATGCTTTTTGAAGTTAATGAGAAAAAGTAGTAACAAGAACAAGAAGCCTCTTGTGCATTTTGTTGAGTGTGCAATCTGTCCTACGCCAGTATCTTTATCCTAACTTTGCATAAAGCAAGCACCAGACCTTTGGACAATGCTTCTGGTCTACTGAGCTGGCAGAATTTCCCAGAAAACTGGAAGCATGTGATATCACCAGCTTCTGAGATGCATAAAGTACTTATATTCCATATGCATAAAGCTATATGGAATATAATTCCTTTATTGAGTCCCATCACCTGGTACTATTCTAATGTGACTGATTAAAACATGTGCATTAGTATCTTCATTATCTTTCCTGTCTTCCAAATTTATCCAGTTGCTGTCCTAACCATAGCTTACTGCTATCTGGAAACCTATTTACAAGATATGTTTTTACCTTAAGGTTTTAATTTTCTTCCTTGAGATATTTCTAGATATGTAAAATGCCAAATGACATTAATTATTATGCTTTGGAGAGAAAGTAATCAACACATATTTCAATATCTAAGTAGTATATTGGTGAGGATAGCTTAAAATCTGAATTCAGTTTTCTTTTTGGTTACTAAAAATGCAGTTAGTTCTTGGGACAAGCACGGGACTCAGTCACATTCTTTTTGACAATAATTTAGCAGCTTAGTTGAAGCCTTGATGTAATGAATATGAACAACAACAACAAAAACCCCACCTAAATATTTATGTATCCTTCCTTTAAAAACAAAACATGCTAAATCCTATAGCCGTTCAAAGACGATAAATGGATTTAAATGACTGGGTAAAAGCCACAACTCAGCTTTTAAAAGATATACAGTAAGAATTTATTTACCGGTAACTAGCAACATAAATGGTTACTATATTAGTTATCTTCATTTTGCTGAACCACACAATGGTATTTACAAACTGAGATTTTTATTGGAAGAATAATCTTGGAGAAAAAGCTAAAATTTGTTGGAGTCTCCAAAGAGGAAGAGAGCAATGCCATTTGGCTACCATCCTTCACACTTGAGTGTCTCTGTTAATAAGTAACAGCAAGACCCAGAGAGGAACAGAGAGTGAGTTCTCCGCTCAGACTGACTGGTAATGGGGTACCTAAGTGCATCAGCAACCTATGAATTGGGTTCCATTACTAAAGATTCTGTTCCAATGCACCCTGCTTTTACCATTTCTTTATAGACAGAAAACAGACATAATATGGGCACGGAGTTACTAAGTCACAGAACTGTGGTATTCCTAGCCCCTGAGGCTGGGAGATATTTAAAAGTGTTACACAGAAAGTTTCCTAGGAGAACATATAAGGCACACCAAGGAGAAAAGATGTTTCCTATCAAAAAGGCTTGGAAATATCCCCCCGCTTAAGCAGCATGTCAGGGAGATGCAGCTGTGAGAACGGAGAGATTCACTGCAGACATACAAACACTCATAACTATCCTGTGAGCCAGAAACAGGAAGCAGCCCCCAATACTAGCAGGATTTTGGAGCAGGAGGACAGACAGAAGTGGACCACCCAGCATGGAGCTCATCAGGCTACTGATGAATGAGGTGAACCTGGAGATCTAATTGTATAACTCCTAAGGTTCTGCTGTACAAGTTTAGGAAGCCGTATGTACAGGCAATGTTCCTTTTTTTTTTTTTTGCCAGCAAAAAGATTACAATTCACTGAATATTCAGATGATGTTTAGCATTTTTTAGCAACAAGTTATTCTTCAAATGAAGGTAGGTTCATTGATTTTTAAGACTTAATGCACTTCTACACCTAATGGACTTCAGTATAGTATAAACATAACTTTTGTATGTACTGGGAAACCCAAAAATTCATATGACTCACTTTTGGGGGTATTTGGAACCAACTCCCCAAAAGCTCAGTCAAGGTGGGCACTTATAGTTGTTTTTTTTCCTACCAAGTTCAGTGACTTGTCAAATGACTCAAGTCATTTTACTGGGTGAAACATTCTTTGTCACTAAAGACAAAATGAGGTTAGTGTTCTCCCCTGCAGAATCTTTTTTTTCAAGTCCACAAAGCAGCATCTAGAGTGATCTTTTATAAAGATATATGAAATTGCATGTAAATTATCTAACTCCCCCTTTCACTAAGCAGTGACCTCAAGTCGCCTTGTTTTAGCACATTTACAACACTATAATTTCCATCTATCATATTTCCTTAAATTATTCATTTGTTTTTTTTTTATTGCCTATCTCCTCTCCTAAGTTCAAGAATTCCTTGCAAATTCTGTCTTGTTTTCTTGTTATCCCCATTGCCTACTAAAGTTCCTATAACATGTAAAAACTCAATGAATATGTGTTGAGTGAAAACAGTGAAGTTCAATTTTAAGTATAGTAAATAAATTTCACTCACATTCTATGTCATCAGACTTCTATTCTCAGCCTGAGTTTGGAGCCGTTTCTCTTAGCTTCTATTTTGAGTAAGTGGGCAAATCAAGTCCTCTCTAGGTTTCACGCAGCTCGG